CAACATCCCTGACAGATTTCTTGTCTAAGATTTCCTTTATGGACATTTCACAGCATCCTTCAGGCTCCTTCCACTGGAAAGAAAGATTTTTCGCTCTGCAAACCCTTGAGAATTGGTCTGTGTACTTCCTTATGCTAGGACTCACATTGGTTTCCATGACGGGGATCTTGCACTCTTCTTTCTCTTTCATCTCATCTCTCCTCTCAGCGTTGAAACAAACAACTCATCTTGTCCTGCCCTTGCTGTAACTTAAAGTCGAAATATCTGTTTGATCTCGGATTGGCAGGGATTTTGACTGTAGAGACATCATGAATGTATCCTTGAACATCTTTGTACGACACTTCCTTTTGATCACTACTTGAAGCCATCGTGCAAGACGTAAAGTCAATGTACTCTCACTCTCACATTTATACCCACACCAACAACCAAAAAACACCATATCAAATCTCAAGAACAATCTGCCTAAAATATACCTTTTAAGGACAAAAAAACAAACCTACCATCTTTTTCAATCAAACTAGTTTCAACTGTCAAAACAAACCACAATTCATTGTAAGAAGAACAAAAAGTACATTAATTTCTAAAAACAAACGCACCCACAAACAACTAAAAAACATCATATCAGGTCTCAAGACCAATGTGCCTAAAATATTCCCTTTTAAGGACATAAAAACCTTGCCATCTTTATCAATCAAACTAGTTTCAACTGCCAAAACAAAAAAACGAAAAACAACTCATTATAAGAAGAACGAAAAGCACTCTAATTTCTGACAAATAAACACACCCACAAAAAACTAAAAAAGATCATATTAGGTCTCAAGACTAATGTACCTAAAATATTCCCTTTTAAGGACATAAAACCCTGCCATCTCTATCAATCAAACTAGTTTCAACTGTCAAAACAAAAAATCAATTTATCACAAGAAGAAGTAAAAACACTCTAATTTCTCTTTTTTGCTGTTTATTAGCCTTTCTTAAACTGTAGGCAATCTCAGTTTAATTTTGCTCCTTTGTAGATGTATTTCACAAAAAACCGTCTTTACTACTCCATCCCCGAACCAAACAAATAACACAATTCTTTCAACAAAGGAACGATCATCACCCCACTTATTAAATGAATGACAGAAATTTCACACCATCTTCAACAAAAAAGGAAAATGTACAATCAAGTCAATACTTGATGTAAGAACACATCAAAGATCTACAGAAGCATTCTAATATACGCCCTTTTCAAGCGAACTGAACCACCTCTTATAACTTAATCGCGTCAAATCAACGAAACTCCTTTTTAAGCCTGTCCACAATCCTTTGAAACATTCAACTATTTGTCTTTTCATGAACTGGACAGACAATGAAACTGCAAATGGATGTGTTACAATAATTGATAAATCAACCTAAACTCATTTGACTACTTCAAAAAAAGACCAGAATTTTCAACACACAGCACGTCACTAAAACAACGACAAAACACATTTTTTCAATTGGGGGAAGGAGATTACAACTATCTTGCAGTAGAGAGACTAAATAGACTCTTCTAAAAAAAAAGTACACAACCATAAAAGTTCACTTGAAGGCAGCAGAGAGTTTTAACTCAAAAGTATTTCCTTCTATTGTATCACGAGTACCACACACTGACTTTCTGAAGGCCATCAAAAGCCTGACAATTTTTACTCATTCCATCACTGTTTTTCTGACATATCTTTTCTGACAAACCCACTCACCATCCACCCAGCCGAAATTCAATAAACAAAAACCAGTTTGATAAGTTTTTATTTCTAACCAATCAACAACAATATCCACGGGCGCCACAAATGGACCAGTTCCAAGTATAACATTACTTAAAAGTATTAGAAATGTACTCTTAACCTGAACTTAAATTCCAATATAAAACATTTTCGTTATATAGAAACCAAGAAAACGAAGGCCAAAGTTGGTATCTAAGAATGATGTTTTGGAAATATTAACAATCACAGGGCTGACATCGGACGCGATACTCTGCCTTTTTGCCAGAAATGTTGCAACTTCACAACCCGGCACGCAATAAAGCGTTATTAGTTTCAAGTAAACTAAGGCAAATTATAACAAAATTCTCTTACATTCTGCTTCCCAAAATAAAGTACAATCGTTTTAATATTTCTAAATCATTTCTATGGCTATAAAAAGCCTTCTAAAGACAAATCAGGTATATGATCTTTGCAAGGTCAGTGACAGATAAGGCCGTAATTAAATGACCTATTATGCAAAGTAGCGCGTTACTAAGGGTAAGACATTGTTTACCACGCCATATTGAGAGCACACACGTAACAAGTTCAAATGAAAATTTCCGTGTTTTCTCATCACTTTCCTTGCTATAATCGCGTCACTGTCACAACAACATTAAGAACAGCAGTTTGCTCGTAAAATTCAAGATGACGACGAAGAAAACAGCGCAGCGCAACGAAAACTAAGGGCAAATTAAGGGCAATTTTGCGGCTCCATTGGACCACACCGAAAACAAATTGATATTAAAATATAAGAATTTATAATACCGCGCTGAAACTTGCAAGGTTTTTATTCACATAACGTTAAGGAAAAATGAATTAAATTCCCAGCAATTGCTGGAATATTTTGAAATTTTGCCGGCGGCCTGAAGTTCCAGGGAGTTACAAAAAAAAAAATTCCACCTCTAGATCTCGGGAAAAATTTACTGGCTACTGCCGGGAATTTAAAGATAAATGAACAATCTAAGTATCAGTCAGTCCAAGAGAGATTCTCTCTTGGTCAGTTCCATTTTTTTATTCATGGATATCGAGAGAAAGCCAGAAATATGGAATTATTGAATTTTTGAGCCTCCGGTATAAATCGGAAATAACACCTTAGCTATCCCTTAACTATGAAAATTGACACCTCGGACATCAATTTTCTGAAAACTGAGCTCTAGCTTAGTAAACCTATGTAACTTTTATTTGCAAAATTCTTTATTATTATTGAGAAATAATTTTTTCAAATGGAATAGTTTATAACAGATCTTATACCTCAAACTTCAAACACAGTGGTAATCAGGTCATTTATTTCCTTATTATGAGATAACTCTGAGATCCATTGACTATACCAAGAGTTCTATTTTCTTTAGCAGACATAACTGACTCCCTTGTTTGCAAAATAGGAAATGAAAGTAAAATAAAGTTTGAATTTCGGGTCATTCTTGCACCGTCACCGTTGATTTTGATTTTGATTTTACTATTGATAGGGTCAAAGCCATTGTTTTTCTTTGAGATAATCAGAGATATGTTCTTTGGACACAGTTTAACCGAATTTACTTTTGCCTCTTAAAAATTGGCATCTGGTGAGTCAATTTGGCACATTTTGTATAGGTCATCACGGCATTGCTTGACCAAATTTGACCTTGGTAGACCATCTGTGATCATAGAGAGTTCATGGTAAAATGCATCTCCCACACAAAATTTGTCTAATAGAGGATTTTTTTTTCAACATTCTTTTTTTCCTCTTCTGACAAGGTGCTGAGGTTGCTTTTGCCTTCACCTTGAAAACTTTGGCGGTAATTAGTTGAAATTGCACTGTTTTCCTTGTAATTATTTTTCCATCGTGATTGTATTGTAAGACCAGGTTCCAAGCACCGTTAATTTAAAAGAATTACTGTTTGGGGTAGCATAAAAAAGTCGCACAGGAATTTAACAAATCATTATTATAACCTAAACTGTGACACAATGTTCTTTAGATATGAACTCATTTTTACTTCCTGGATTACGTGTTTGAACATGGAGAGATCTGTAATTAATTCGAGATGCCTGGGTTTGACAGCTTCTCACCTAAAATATTATGGTTTTAAATATATTTGCGTTATCTTGCTTATTGCTCTCCTTGGGCGGCAAAACTGAGTTGTTTTTCACCTGAAAAAAGGATTTTCCGATACCTACAATAGGCTTGTTATGGTACATGTAGCCTGGAATGCCTTGTCATAGGCTACTGTACCATAGATTTGTATAACAGCCTCAACTTTCTCTGGGGACATTTGATCTCCAAGTGATTTGTGTTTTAGTGACTTTGGTCGCAGGTTTCAATGGAGTGTAAAAACACAAGCATCTTGCTGTTTCTAACTAGGTTTTTCTTCCTCTTCAGTTTCTGTTGTCTGGGTGTTAATTTCCATGTGCAGGTTATTTCTGTCACTTATGTTCACGGCTGCATCGTCCCGTCTCCGCAGTTTTCAAAGGACTTACATTTTATGGCAATGGAATGTTTCAAATATATGGCTCCCTCGTTATGGCATTACATGGAATCGGCGGTCAGAAATCAGTCTTATTAAATTTTCATGAAATAGGAAATTTCAGGTCATTTAATTGTATAATATGAGAATGGGATAGTGTAATACCGTAACTTTCATCAAAACTTTTCTTGCTAAAGTGGTTTTGTCTACACGTGAGTGCTTTGTTGGTTGAAACAATTCTTTTTAAAATTTTTTAGCCACTCTTTTCCAATTCTGGGATCATCAGGAAATTTAAACGTACTTTCAATTATGCTGCTGTTTATGGCCGCAAAAAACAGCATAATTTTCTAAGGCAAGTCGACTTGAAAGACACTGTTTTGAATTTCCCGCTTTTTCCCACCTCACAGTAGGGTTATTTGAAATATATTATATATGTATTCATCTGCATAATGAAATCCTTTGTACCCACATTCCAGCCTTGGGCCTGTATGCCTGTATGCAGTTAACTGTACATGATGGCAATAGAACTCTTATATCCTTGCCAAAGGAGCCCCAGCACCACCTTACCAATCGCCTGCAGGCAATGTGCTTGTTTTTTCTTATGATTCGTATGTGGAGGCACCATACTCCTGCTTGTATTGCAACCATGCGGCTTGTAACACGCGATAATTCAGGCAAACTGAGGAGGGGCAAATCCATTCAATATCAGGCTTCATTGTAATTTCAACACATGACATGTGAAACCACTGGAGTTTGCAGCCAGGCTTGTCACACCCGGTACGTTGGCTATCCTCAATTAGCTGTTGGCAGTAGTATAAGGGTCCATCTTCATTGCTCTCTTTTTATGGTGTTCAGTGAGATGTGGCTGAGCACTGGAATGTGTGTACCATTGACCTAAACTCTCTGAGAGAAATCCTGTCTTGTAGGAGAGTATTGCCATTGTCAACACTCTGTCCCAAAACTCAGTGTCAGGCAACACTTGCTGAACGAACATGTCCTTTGTAATCCAGACAATAAGTACTCCACTCCAGTTACAAACAACTGGCATTGTACTTAATAGTAATAAGGATGAACAATGCAAGCACAGATCAACCTTATCTTATTTAAAAGAGCAACTGGGGTCCTTTGCAGCAGTAACCAGCATGGCATCCTTGTTCTTGTAAGGACATTTAATTTCACAGTCCTTTTCCGCAGCACTCAGAAAGAACAAGATCATCAGGTGAAGCACCTTAACAATTGGTAGTTCTCGTTTATGTGTAGCCATTGTCCGTTCCAGACAAATTGAGGCTCTGAACTGCAATTGAAAACTCATATGCTTCTCCTGCTTTGCTCTCGTTTGATATTCCCCATCTTGTTGCTGCATTTGAGAAGCGATGAGCCCTAGGATAACAAATCATCTTAATCAGGCTTTTTAATGGCTTGTCGGGATTGGTTGAGCAGGCAGGTTTAAACTTTGAGGCAGTCACTTGGCCTTCTCTCTGCTCAAACCACACTTTGCGATCTACCTGGTCTCTTGTTGCTTCCTCAACAGTTTCTGCTTCCTTGATACTTATCTAGAGCTCATTAGAAGTTGTGTCAGACTTTTTCAGTAACTCCAGCAAGGTGTTTTCAAATTCTCTTCATTCAACTGCTCTGTTAATGGCTTTGGCGTTGTTTTCTTGTCAGCAGGTACAAAAGCAGCATTATAAGGTGCAATAATGGATAGAATAGCTGGTTTGATCTCACAGTTTGAAATGCTTTCGAAAAAGTAGGCCTTTTTTTTCTGCTGTGGTTACTTGGACATTTGCCCTCTCTCTGGGGTCTGGGGTAGCACACCCAAAGTACTATGCCGTTTCTTTGCAGAGGAATTTCACAAACAGGAATGTACGGAATTTCCTTAACATATTAAGGCATGACCCACCCTGCTTTTTTCCTGCGTACCTGTAACTGAATCTCGCATTAAAACCCCAGCTTCAATGGCAAAACCAAGAGCCCCAAGGTGTGAGCAGGCATCACAAAGTCCTGCTATGCAGTTATAGTGCACCAGGCACACGTTTGCATCCTTTTCAGCAAGGAGTCATGTCTTCAGAGGCATCTCTCTTGCTCCTTGTGGGTGATTTATGCATCGTTCAATTTTACTTGTTACCATCCCCCCTGGGCATACCCCCGGGGATTTGAAATTTTTGTCATTCTTAGTAGTCCGTTCCCCACCCCTGGGCACGAAGAAAGAGACAATTCCCCACCCCCGGGCACGAAGAAAGAGACAATTCCCCACCCCCGGGCACCTGATCGACCTCACATACATTTTTTGAGGCTACATCATCTTGACAGCAATATTCGTTTGGAATGGCAAACTACAATTTATCAAGAGTTCTATATACAATAATCATTACAGTTTATTGACACAGTATTTTAAGGTACTGATAATGTTCAGTAAGTCAGAATTTTCTTAAACCTGGGGCCACGGTTCTCCTTTAAATTGTCTCTCTTTCTAGTTTATCCAGTCTGGGTTCTATTTGGGCCCATGAGCCATTTGAAACTCTTCTCGTGTACTGATTTCTTGAGAATCATTGTCAATCTAGGCCCTGTAGGCATGGGGAGCGGTGCGCATTTGGTTGTGCATTTCTAAAAGATGCCACTCCCTCCATTCTGTTTTTTTCTTTCTTTCTCCCACTTTTTCTTCTCTCCCTTTCTCCTCTCTCTCATTCGCATCCTCTTCTTAAAATTTCTCTCGATCTTCCTTAACCTCTCCTTCTTGATATCATTCGCCTCTCCTCCTCAATCTGATCTTTGTTTGTTAGGTTTCTTTCCCTACACTCTTTTTGTCTCTTTATTAGTCCTTCTTTTCCTGAACCACCAGCCATGTCAATGATGATCAAAATTGAATAAAAGTTATAGAACAATCTGTGGTAGATGGTTTAGTGTTACAACAACTGTATTGACTTTGTCTTCGACATGAAGATTTTAGTACGAAAACAATCAATATAACAAGTCAAATAAAGTAAAATAAAACTTAAGTAAGAGAGGAAGGAACAACAACTACATATAAAACGTTAATATAGAAAATTACATGGCTATGTACGGTTTCTACTCTACTGGTATGTTAAGAAGGTTATAGTAGATTAGAGTTCGGATTTATAACAATTTAGAATATTTTCAATATGTGACCCTATTTGGGAAAACCAGGCTTAACGAAAACTCCGTTGAACCGTTTTTCCATTTCAACGCATTTTGGAAACGTTTGAATGCATTACAGATCATTTTCAATGCATTTGAAAACATTGACAACGTTCGTGAACGAAAACGAAATGCATTGAAGATCATTTTGAATTCATTTTGAATCATTTGCACCACGTTTTAAAACGTTCACAATGCATTTCAGTGAAACAGAACACAAGAACCTTGAATATGTTGGCGAAATCAATGAACGTGCACTGTGTCCTAATCCAGAAGCAAATGCTCTAAAAAAAAATATTGAACTTTAGAAATCTACTTGATATTTTACAACTTTTAAATTTCCGAGATGTAGAGGCAGCCAATTTAGTTTTCACCGTGCAAAATTTAATCGTTAACTCTAGGCCGTTCACCTTTCGTGTCCGTGGCTTTTTCCACGTTAACCACGAAAACCACTAATAAACAAGCAGCTAACGAGTGACATGCAGACATTCAAAGCATTGTCACGAACAAACGTTTGCGGTCCTTCTCTCCTTTTGGCATTGTTCCCAAGTATTAAATAAAAATCCATCATAACTTGCTCTCAAACTGATTGCCAATGAGCCATCCGAGCGAAGACGCTCGGATGGCGAGGCGGCAGCAGAATAGAGCTGCGCAAGACTCGGCTGTAGGCAGAAAAATTCTCGATCGAGCTTCAAAAAGTGTAGTCTGCTACACAGCTGTTGTTTAAAAACGGCTGTGTAGCAGACTACAAAAAGTGTAACACTGTGTAACCTCCTATAATGTAGATTCCCCTGAGACCAAGTGGTGTGACAGTTTCAGCCAATCAAAAGGCGGTAAACTATACTTGGTGCACGTGTGTTCTTTCCTCAGCGGCACGCGAAGACTGAACTTGAATGTGGTACGCTTTTATTGTTTGTTCACCTAAATCTGGCCCCGGCAGTCAAGGAAAATGAAAACTTGATGCATTGTATTAATAATTTTAACGGGCCATTAATGTAAGGTTTTAACGAAGAGAAGCTTGTAAAACAACAGTCTAAACAAAGAAAAGTTTTCGATGTGAAACAAGCAATTCTCACCACTAAAAAGGATCAGATTACACGAGGAGATAAGAAAAGCTTGATACGAAGAATAAAGTCGCTTCTGTTGGAAAATCTGATGTTGGGGAAAAAATCTAACCAGCAAATGGAAAAATAAGAATAAAAAAGAATTACGAGCCAAAAGCGAACGACAAAGCCAAGAAAACAACGCTTTTTTTTTTTCGAAACCTGGCCGAGTTTATAATAAAGTAAAAACAAAATACCGACGTGCCGTTCATCGCATGTCCTTGAAAACATTTCAAGCAGCGCAGCGAATCATTCTAAAAAAAAGGGAACTCGAACGAACACCAGACACAGTGAGTTCACAGAACAATTTTTGCTTATTATCGCTGAAATTTCGACATTATATATTTCTGTAGTTCATTAGGTTGCTTTTTACTAGCTGTGCACAATTTGTTTGTTGGGGTGGCTAAACGATCAAACATTTGTTCATAACGCGAAATGTTGGTTGAAAATATTTGACTAAGATCAAACGTGGAAAAGCCACTTAAATGCGTATGAGAGAGGCGGCTTAACGGTCAAAGATGCTCTTCCAAAACGATGTTGGATGAAACTATTAGATCGTTTAGCCGTGGCTTAATCTTTATGTTGACCGAACGCAGAGTTTATTTAACTTGTCACGTTGTCACTCCAAAGGTGAATTGAATATTATTCTTTTCATTCTGATTTTACAATTTTCTAAACAAGCTTTGTGAAGCGTTTCCAGTGCATTGCTAATGCATTGGAAATCATTTCAAGATCATTCTTGAACATTTAAGAACATTGGCGGTGTTTCATGAATGAATTGGGGAACATTGCAAATGCGTTGTGAATCGTTCTCCAGCGTTGTAATGCATTCTAAATGCATTTAAAATTCGTTGAAATGCATTTGAACGGGGTTTTCGTTAAGCCCGGTTTTCCCAAATAGGGTCACATATAAGAGGCACTAAAATTTATGATGTTTTAATCGCACGTAGACATGATATATAAAAAATTAATAGTGCCTTGCAAGATATTCATAAATAACTGTTTATCGAGCATAGGCTCTCTAAGAAGGTACCCCTTTTATGAGAACGTGATGAGTGATTACATTTCAATAAATAGTGAAATTCATCACCAATTTCGGATCTTTAATAAAGGGGGCAAAGTCTCTCAGCTCTGGGTATCTTCTTGTAGCGCACAGATTCAATGGGTGGCAAGTAGCAAGAAATCTGCATTTTGATTACTGCCACTCTTGTCTTAACTTTCTTTATCAAATCAAGATAAGTTTCAAATCTGACTTTGTTTTTCAATTCTCTGTAAAGACGTAGTTAATTTCCAACTGAGGAGTCAAATTTATCCTGGTTCAAATTTTTCGACTAATGTTCCTGGTATTGTTTAAATTTCTGTTAAACATTCCAACCAGGTGAGAAATTCTCCTGTTAAGATGTGGCAGATTTGGAGTATAATCGGTTTATTTAGTGAAGTGTAATAGGTGCCTCACAGTAGTAAACCATGAATGCTCACCTCTATTATTTAAATGGATGTTTATCTCTAGGGAGTAATCAAACTGTTCTGTACAGGCCACAGAATGCAGTATGTTGTGTACCTGCATCAGTCGACAGACTATGGTGTTGTTAAATTTTATCCCTCAGTCAATTTTGTTGTGTGATAGATAGTATAAAAAGAGGGTGCGTACGGAATAACCTCACTCTACACATGCAGGACAGAAACCTGTGCCTGTTGCCATTGGGTGGTTATTATTGGGGTATATAAGGTAGCAAATAAACTACAAAAAACACTTGTTTTCGTTGAGTGACTGAAACTGATTGACTCCATGTAAAAACATGGAAACTTAACCTGGTTGAAAAGCTTTCCAATGTGTTAAAGGAAGAGATGAAGCGTATCAACAGATTACTCTTTCAAAGGAAATAAAGATCAGTGGCTCCTTAGAGTGACTAATGCGTTCATATCCCCTTTTTTTGAGTTGTGCATACGTCTATGATTGCGAGAGACCTCCTAATGGTCAACTGTAATTAAACAGAAAAATTAAAACAGACCATTACCAGGGTGTTCATAAAATGTACAACACTAGAGGCATCTGTCACCAAATCTGCTTTTGAATGTTTCAGTAGACTTTTGAAAAGGATTT